TTCTCTCGTACCACAGTAGGTATAGATGATCCTGGACTCGACGAATCGGACTTTGAGGTTGTGCAGCACCGCGGGCTCGTGCAGGTAGCTGAGGGCTGTGAGGTCGTTCTCGCCCACCAGGATGTCTGGGTTTCTAAGAGGCGGCAGATTCGGTTTGGAGGGATCGACTGGGTAGAGGTGCACCTGTGGAGAGATAAATCCCACAGTTAGGTCAGCTGCTCATTTTCACATATGGGGATTCATTAGAGCTGCATTCGACGCTTTTATTAGTGAGATTTAGCTCACAGTGCCGTCTTCAAGAAGCAACTGAAGAACATTATCTCCTGAGTGGAAGTCTTTGGTGATTTCAGCTGATTTCCAAACATGTTCTTCATCCAGTATCCAGACTCTGTTGTACTGAGAGAGATGGTGCAGAGAGTGAAAGCAAAAATAATGATGTCATTTATTAGTGCTTTGAGTCTCACAGGAAAATGTTTAACAGGGAACTTTGAAGGGCATTTAAATTGTACAGGTGGATTCTCTATAATACTGGAACTTCATCCTTTTTGCAACATCCCCAAACACTGGGAAAGTTTCCATATGTCTGTATGATCTGCACATATATCAAACATATGTTGTTGTAATGATCAGATAAGCATAATGCTCTTACCTTGGTGTATAACTCAGATAAAGCCATGTTTGGCCTTCAGTTTTCTTAGGTTCTGTTCGCACCTGCAGCTTTCCTGGACTTTCTAACTTACCATTAAAGTCTCACAGTGACGTCACTTGTTTCTAACAACTCTAGGACAATCACTAACCATGCTTCCCAAAAATAGCGTCCAACTTCCGGGCAATATTTTCACAATAAAGGTTCCATTGAAAGGACTGAAAATGTCAGACTGTTCTAGGCTTACAGATATGATCACTATGGTCAGTATTTTTTAAATCTGCTCCAAACACATTATCTCTGCAAATGACCTAAAAAAAAAGCCCCATTGGGTTTTAAAATAGTCACAAATTTTAGTATCAGCACATATTTAGAAATAAAATCAGAAGCAAAATCATGACTTTTGGTTGTTGTGCAAATTGTACCAATGGTGACTGATTATTCATTTAAACAATTAAAAATAAATAAACAATCTTCCTCACTTATCTTAATCACCTTTTTTTTTTCATTTTTATTTACTATGTGTTTAAGTTACCATTGTTATAATTCTTTATAGTCCAAATAGAATTTCATTGGGATTAAGTTGTACTGTTTTTCCATAATTGAAATACTTT